CGCCCTTGGATACGGACGTCCTTGGTGTCGGGTACGTTTGGTCAGCCTGGTGTTTCGGAAGCAAAGTCTTGGAGTTGGCGAGCGAGGTGTCTTGAGTTCGGTTTGGAGTGTTCCGAGTTGCCATGGGCCAGCCCGGGTCAGCTTTGTGAGGCTTGGGGCCCAGTATAGTTCGTGCTCCTTGTAGGGAGCTCGGGTTCTCAGTAGGGAGCTCCGAGTTCTTAGATAGGGAGCTCGGGCTCTTGGTAGGGAGCTCCGAGTTCTTAGATAGGGAGCTTGGGCTCTTGGTAGGGAGCTCAGGCTCTTGGCGGGGAGCTCGGGCCCTTATCAGGGAGCTCGGACTCGTGGTAGGGAGCTCGAACTCGTGGTAGGGAGCTCGGGCTCTTGGCGGGGAGCTCGGGCCCTTGGTGGGGAGCTCGGGCTCCTAGTAGGGCGGTCTGGAGTTCGGGCTCAGTAGCGAGCTTGGACTTTGCTYTCGGTGCTTGCTTCGGGCGCTCTAYTRTCCCGAGTTGCTTGTTTCTGCCACGTGTCGGGTAACTGTGAGGTCGGGCCAAATTCCCCTTCATCAAAATATATGTTGGTTTTTTTGTTTTTTTGTTTAATAAGTAATGAGAAGATAACTTTATGATTATTCCATCCAACCTCTTTTGTCAAAACAAGGGCTATATATATATATATATATATATATATATATATATATATATCCATCATTTTTTATTCTTGAGCAAATCCCTGAGAGACAAAACAACCATTTGCATAACCAAAGATCTTGTTTATGACTTTAATCACCAAAAATAAAAATATTTCTTTGAAAACAAAAAAGTGAAAAGATTATGCCAAACCAAACCCAAACTGAGTATTTGTGATTTATTTAGTTGTCTTTACTCAGCAGCCCCTCTCTTCGCTCTCTTTAACCCTCTAAATTGTGATTTATTTGATTTTTCATTATTATTTGCTTTCAGAAATTAGCGTTCTATCTCAGCCGTGCAAGGGGTGTCTCTTGGAGATCGTCTTTCTTATCCAAGAGTGTTGCCGAAAAACACTCTATCGGCCTCTTCTGCAACAAATATCTTTACCAAGCAACGCAAGTGTCAGAGTCGTTGGTGGGTCCAATTCCATCTTTGATGAGGACCCAATCTCCGAGATCCGACCACCAACAGGGAGCTACAGTGCAATTGATCTCGGTAAAGAAACAACCAGGAAAAGTAGAATCCAAGTCATTTAGTCACAATTAGCTTATTGAGAAGAAAGGAGGAGAAAGTTCAAAAACCTGTTTGCTAAATAAGATTGATGTCTGATGTCTCTCATAATCAGAATATATTAGTTTAAGCAATGTATTTTCTCTTAAGAATCACTGAATCATACAATTGATTCCAATAATGATACTTTTTTTTATTGGAGAGAAACTTGAAAGGAGAATTAGACATTGGAAATGAGTTGTCGTTGTTGTTGCTGTTAATTTTAATTTAAGTAGAGAAGACAGAATTAAGGGAAGAAATACAAAATGAATCAATCCATCCGCAGAATACAAACCTCTTGCACAAGAAACCATTGAGATCAATGACGACCCATCCTCTATTTGAAAACCTTTCAAACACAAAATACACATTATCGATGATGAATTCACGCATTTTGCTGGATACAAAAGCTTTATCCAACAATGGTTTTGATTTTCACGCATTTTGCTGGATACAAAAGCTTTATCCGCCAATGGTTTTGATTTTTGAAGATGACGAAGACATCCCCAGACCGGATGTTTTAAGTGGCAACCAAAAGATTAAAGCACTATATGATTTAGTACATCTGGGCAACCCAATAATGCACATAATTCATCGGTATCAGAAAAGGATGATGTAAACAAATCGGAAATTTTGTGGGAACATCAGGAATTGATAGAAAGGTTAAGGATGGGACTAAGAAAGGTGAAAATCACTGATCTTCCAACCATCTTTGAGGAAGATGAATCTCCCAAGATGAGTGTTTGGCTAAAATAATTCAGGGTCTGTTTGATTCGCAGTAGGAATTGAAATTGGAACCAGAATTAGAATGGATGATTTGCAGTTGGAATTGGAATCAAAATCAGAATTGGAATCCTCCTAATCAGAATGGTCCATTCCCATAGCCTGTTTGGTTCAAACAGAAATGGGAATGGAAATCAGAATCTACAAGAATGGGATTTCATTCCTGATGAGGGATAATTTGGTCCATCTAATGATGTGATGACACATGGAGCGACAGAATGATGTGGTGACACCTCAGTGATCCCAGTCACCTCGCACACCTCAGGTTACCCAGCTAGACTGAGACTCAAGTAGTTCAACTATATGCACCGATCTATCGAGGTGCTATGTAATCTTTATATAGAAGCAAGCCATTTGTCTCCAATCTCCTCGAGGTCATGGCACCACGTCAACCACTTCGAACAGACCTGGATAAACCTTATTAGCTTACGCGGAGTCCATCTTCAGGTGCAAAACCAACTCTGGACCAGATGGGCCGAGGATCTCACACATGCATTGTGAGGCCCACGGCTATATAAAGGCCTTGCCTCCAGTCATACAAGGTATGTACGACTCAACTCTCTGAATTCTCTTGCAATTTAGCTTTCAGCTCTTTCAAAACCTCCAAATTGTTAACTTAAACATCGGAATGCCCGCATTGGGTAAAACACCCCAGACACTTTTAACGTCATTTTCTTGCATCTCAACTAGGCGATCTCACTACACCAACATCCAAGCTGTCCTCTAGCAAGGAACACCAAATCGTGCACCATCAATTCCCAATGGAAGGGCAGGCAATGGCCATTCCGGCAAGAATGGGAATGAAATTCCGATTCCACCCAACCAAACAGTTGGAATCGGAATAGCCCATTCCGATTCCGATTCCAGACCCCTATTTTTGCAAACCAAACGGGGCCTCAATTCTTTTTTGATAAAGTGGGTCATTGGTGACAAAGTAACCCTGATTTAATCTCCTGAATTAAATAGGAAACCAAACACAAATTTATCAAATGAATAGTGGATTCCAAACAAAATAATGGATGTATTGTGCTCCGTAATGGTCCCTAACTTGGTACATTAGCCAGTATACATGAAAGTGAGGAGAGAAGACAATGATAAGGTGCACACTTTCATTGAGATGTTACTATAATATGATCTATGTATCATTTTTATATATTTAGTACATGTGCTTGTATGTTTCCACTAGAATCAGCAAAGAAGAGGGGTGAAAATGGTAGCATGGGATAAATTGTGCAACCAAAACAAATTGGAGGATTAGGATTGAAGAGAATTCAAAATGGCCTTGGTAAACAGGCCTGGCGTTCGATGAGTTACCCAAAAGCATTTTGGGCTGAATATATTAAGAACAAATACTATCCAAATTGTAGCATTAACTCCACAGCTACAAAGGCCAATCACTCAAATTGGTGGCGTCAGGCAAAGAAGAAGCCATAGATTGCAAAAGTGTAGTTGTTGGGCAACAAAGGATGGAGAGCAAATCTATGCCCTTCAAGATACTAGGGCGCCTACACTTGTAGATGGCATACCAACATCTATGGATCCTTTATCACATAAAGGCAGCAAGCTACATGTGAAGCATCTACTGGATACAAATGTCTCTTGGAAGATTCATGTAGAAGCACAGCTCAAATGCTAAATTTACTACAAAATCAATGTATAAAACTCTTGAATCTGAGCTGCCTATTCCCATAGTCTGTTTGGTTCAGACAAAAATTAGAATGAGAATTAGAATCAGCTGGAGTGGAAGGAAATGGTCATTCACTCAAATTAGGGAATGCCATTCTAATTCCACCCAACCAAACAGTTAAAATTAGAATGGATTCCATTTCCAAACCTCTATTCCCACAAACCAAAGCCAAACTAACAAGCATAACATATATCTTCAAGTAACACAAAAGCCAAATACAAATGGCGCATGATTAACTAATCACTATTATCCTTGTTAACGGTTCATTCATGGTGATAAGTGGTTGACGGAAAGGTTTTTAAAACCGAATCGGACAATGAATCGGTCAAGGGTCTGGTTCCCGAGTCAAATGGTCTGACCATTCAAACCAAATAGACGGCCCGTTCTGACAAAAATAAAAAATTTAAAAAAATTGTCAAAAGCGTTAGACGGTTTAAATGGTTCGACCGCCCAAGTCAACGGTTTGCTGACAAAATCAATGATTTTTGGCAAAATAATGGTTCTGGGATAAAACGGCTGATCGGTTCCCAATTTTTCCGGTCCGACTGTCCAGTCCAGTTTTGAAAACCATGGTTGACGGTTCAAACAATTGCAGTAGTGGATAGAAAATGTAGTGCAGTTGGACCAGAAGATGCAAAGCTTTGGGAACTCTTCAACATGCTAAAAGGTGAGGAGTATCCAAGGTGTATACATTTTCAGATGCAGAAGCGTTAATCAGAAGAAATATGGATTGCAGATTGGACAAACCTGGGCACTTTCAGTAACAAATGAATCAATTTTGGGAGTTATGGAGTTGGCTTCTTTTCTGTAAATATTCAATATGTACAAAGGGATCTGAATGTTCTGGCCGCAACATGGTTTATTTTGCTTGTAAAAAGCAGAGATTTAGTATATGAACGTTATAGCTTTGTACATATTGAAAGTTTAGATGAATAAAGATTATGCTGCTTTGCCTGAAAGTACGTGTGCTTGTATGAAATTGGTAATGCATATTTTTTATATGCATTTACAAATTCGATCCAACCTGATCAACCAGGAAGGCTCTCAAGTCTCAACGATTCTGGCAGACATTACCGATTACTTATACACATGACGAGAGAGAGAGAGAGAGAGAGAGAGAGCATTTGAGCAAAATCTAACAACTGAGCTTAAAAGAAAATTTGTAACAAAGATCTCCAACCGACTTTGGTACCAGATTAAAGGAATTTTGTAATAAAGATATCGCACCAACTGTTGTTAGGTTTGGACCACTCAAAAATAAAGTTGAAAAGCTCGTGAAGTGGATAACAATAACAACACCTAAAGGCACGAGATACCAATGAGAAGAAAAAAGAAGAGTTTTACTTTTGAGTTGTATTCTGATTTCACCCTTTCTTTCTTAGTGAAGTTAACCTATCAAATAGATGCATGAATCAATAGAAAGTTAAAAAAAAATATTTGCCGACCATAAACCAGTATACATGAAAGGCCATTGCAATGTTATTATTACAGTTGGTGCCAATCAACTCTACGGCGATAGTCTTAAACTTACTGGTTCATTCATGGCTCACCTTTGTTACTCAATTGAAATGGAGCCCAAGACCCTGAATGAAGGAGAACTAAACGATGCCAGGGTAATCTTTAAACGCTAGCTCTTTACATGTAGATAGGTAGTCATCAACTAAACCAATGAAACTTGGTCATTTAAATTTTTTATGCAGGTAGCAGCAGTAGACATAATTCAAAAAATGGACCCCAAGAAAGCTTCGGATGTGTTCACTGAGGTCTACCTATGCTTTTTTTTCTTAATTCAATAAGCCTATTCTGATGAAGCGTTATGATTTCTGGAAGTTTTTACCAATTGTTTAACAACTACCAATGCTTATGTAGGGGCTGAGACCAGTTATTTCAGTCAAAGAGATGAAAGAGAAGACCGAAAGGAGAGATCAACTTCACAAACTTGTCAAGTGTGAAGAGTTTGCTCAAGTTACTGATTGCTTGTGCACCTTAGAAAACATTGATGAATCACCTGACAAAGCTATGTTCAGGGAGACACTTTCAGCGCCTTTTTGAAGTTTTCTGATCTGATGTACAGATTAGTTGGTTTCATCATCCCTCATTTTTTCTTTAGAAATCTGTTTCTTTTAATGGATCTTGCTTTGGAGATTTTGGGTTGGAGATCTTGACTTGATGGTTCCCCTCCACGGCACATGCATTTTAGGAGTCACCATCAATTCCCTTTGTCACTCTGTAGGAGTGCTCTGTAGGAACACTAACCTATGTGTAGGATGGATAACTATGTTTCTACTTCTGCTGATTTATATATAAAACTATGCTTCTACTTCTCTCAGATGTAAAATTCATTTATTGCATCTGAATTGTATCTATTGGAACATGGTGAGGGAAAGGAAACAAAAACACCGCCTTGAGAAACACCAATAAGGATAACTTACAACAAGTACAACCTTTGGCAGTAACTCTATCAAATATCATCTTTAATGAAAACATTGTTATAGCAGACGCAGTTTCCCAGTTACCGAATCCACAGATGACTTTCTGCCTGTTTGATATCAACATACAAAGTTTTCTTTTAATCAAGACAAGGAGTCATTATATTAGGTGACTATATGAGTTAATATTTAGCAGATAATAATAATATAGATAAATGGCATGTCAACCATCTGAAAATTTGCAATTGGAAGTAAATTTTCCATGTCTCGGTAAAAGGGACAAGAAAAGCTCTGATGAGAGAAAAGACCTTAAAAATAGAATGGTATGTACAATCCTATGGATTCAGCATCCTATAGTTCTACCCATGGATTGAGAAAAATATCTTGCTTATAGTTTTTTTCTTCTTTTTTTTTATCAGTAAGCAAGATATCTTGCTTATAGTTATCCCATCCTACATGATATAAAACAGAATTTTGTATGGATTTCTACAGTTCAGTACATTTATGGACAAAATATCAGTTTCAAACATTGTTTAAAAACACTTGAAACTCAAGACTCAAGGCGAGAGGTGTAGCTTGAGGCATAAAAAGGTGTGAGCCTCAAGTATCAATGATTATTTAGTGATTTAATGAAAAATAATATATTTTATACATTTTTGTAGTTCCAAATATATAGAACCACTTTAATAATTATGGAACAAATAAAAAGAGTAAAAATGAAAAACCAATAGGGAAAATCAAGTTCTATTAGTTTCTCTTAGTGTTTTAGGAGAGTGCACTGCAAAAAAGGGCCAATCAAGTTCTTAGTTTCTCTTGGATAAATCAAGTGGGCTTTTTTTCGTATTATTCTAAATCTAACATCCCAAGCTTGTTATTTTTCTCGTTTATTTTCCTAATGGATTTATTTTCTTTTTATCGATTTTTTTTTGCATAGAACAAATCAATTAAGTTATTTCCTCTCTTAAACTCTTGGATGACCATAAATCTAGCATCAATTATATGGATGATTCTTCATATGTTTCCTTTTGCCTAAATTGGTCTTTGAATAATTTGAGAACTTTGCATTTTGAAACATGAAATGTAAAATATCTATAATTGTTTGGTGATTAGTTATTATCTTATTTAATGCTTAGAAGCTAGAATTTATTGCTTATAAACTTATATTTCATGGATATTTGTACCTTCTATTATTCTAACTTGATATATTATATGTTATTTCTATCGTTTATAAGCTTTAATTAATTTTTTTTCTTAATTTTTGAGGCTGATGCCTTGCAACGCCTTGAGGCTTGCACCTGACCTTGTTGAACCATTACACCTCTATGCCTTTAGCCTTTTAAAACCAAACCTTGGTTTCAGATTACCCATAAAGCAAATAAATAAATAAAACAGTTTCAGAGAATAATTTGGCCTCACCTATTGAAAGCAAATTGTTTGACCCCGTGAAGGTGCAGTAGTTAGCACTATTTTAGTGTGTAAGATAAATAATATATTGTAAGAAGTTTATGTTCAATTAGGGTAGTTTTCACTTATTTTCAGAAAACCAGATCCCTGGTTGAAAACTTGAGTGACCACTAAATTGGAACAAACTGGTTGAAAACAGGATAAATAAAATTTCAACAGAGATTTTGAAGGCAAGTATATTTTTCTTCCAGAGATGAGATACAGTTCAGCATTTCAGATATCTTACACCACACAAAAGATTATGTAGCATATATTATTAAGTAGCACTTAGAAGTATCATACCAGGTCCAATAGCAAGAACTGTCTTTGACCCAGCCAAAACCTGCTCCAATTGGAAAGAAAAATATATCAAACTTATCCGAAGTGCAAGTACAGTTTCCAATCAAAGTACATTATTATTTCATGCAGTACGTTATCTCGTTAAAAAAGAGGAAAAAGAAGCAGCCCAGTCCCATCACTTTATTTAAACATATATTATTGATGGAATATAATTCGAACAAGGCTTAGATGATGATGATATTCTTCAATGGAATAAATGTGTCTGAATGCACTCGCCTCATTTGATTTCCTTGTCAAGAATAACAAGGTTATACAATTTGGGAGTAACATCAATCTGAGAGTGGACGCTTTGTGAAAGAAATAAAAAAGAATGTCAAAACGTTAGGTCAGTATCCAATTCACCCCTCTCAAGACCCCAGATATCTGGGACCAACATTGGGAAATGACCCTTGGCATGGTCAAAGCAGAGGATGGTGTATCAGTAGTTTGATTTAATTCCTGTGTAAAATTGACTAAGAAGACATTTTAGAATGTGAAACTCCATGCTAGTTGAGGATTGCTTTTATGTCAAATCTTTTCTAAGTAGGAAGCCTTCATTGTCTTCTTAGAACTTTCTTTAGTTTCTTAAGAAATAGTTTCAGTAAAATGAATAGGATAGCATATTTTTGCAAAAGTGTAACATCTCTACTGGAGGTGAAACTCTTACTAGCATCTCTTTGAGTATGATCTCTCTTAATAGTATATTGTCTTACTATTGTATTCATGGTAATGAAACTACTTCTGGTTATTCTCTGTTCTAGTTTCTCACATTTTCATATTTAGCCTACTGTCTATTGTTTCTGTAGCATCCATTTGTCCTTAATCTTTGCCATTTTCACCCTACACATGCAGCACTTGCCATACCCAGAACCATTTTTGACACTAACAACCTACAATCAAACCAGTCTAATCCTGATCTATCAACGAAAAAAGGTAACCTCTTTACCCTAAAATCTGCCTGAGTAACCAATTTCTTTTTTTTTTTTTGCCTCTTTTAGCCACATCATAGATTCTAATCCATCTATAAACCTATAGCTTGAAAATATAGCCAGATTAGGACACAAAATCCTATTTGTAGCTAGCAATCCTTAGTTATGAACCTTGCCATCTTAAACCCAAACCCTTCAACTATTCCCATGTCTTTCATAAGCTATTAGAGATTCCACTGGTTATTCAGCATTGTTGATGCTCCGATACCAACTTAAACTTCATATTAAGGTTGCTTTTTCTTTTTCTCTTATTGAGCCTAATTTAGGATTAAATCCATACCCAATTTTACAGCCCATGTATTAATCAGGAGGTATTCTTTTAAGAATTGATGGATCTATACACCCCCAGTCCCCCAACCACCACAAAAAAAAAAAACAACAACAACAATAAAACTATATTTCTATTTAAAGTCTTGAACAATGGTAGGCTGCTTTAAGGAAGATAACAGAAAGCATGCCTGCAACCAAGAATTATAAACTAACAAAGTGTATTTTAATTATAAATCTCTGCATTGTGAAACTATAAAACTAAAGTACTAAATGATTAATTAACCAATGCATGAATTACCACATATAGCTAAAAAATGATTATGATGAAGACTTGAATATTCCAAGCTGCTTTGTTTTTTCCAAAATCACTGAAATCCCGTGGTGTTTCAGTTTTTTTTTTTTTATCAGCAAGCATGAATTTTATTTAAATTTCAGATTGGAAACATGGTGTTTCAGTTTTCAATGATAACAATCAGAAGAAATTTCATATTTTCTCCTTATACATTAACAATATTCCTTGGATCTTGAATTTATATAAACTATACTATTTGTGTATGAAGCATACAATGTCACCCTGAATTTAAGATTCATCGAATCTATGGCTATTTAATGCATACAGTCCCTAATTAGGTCAAGTAGGATGCTTCCATAATGAGCTAGGCTATTTCTTCCATGTGGAGACATGACACCTTCCATTAGATAGGGGACAATTGATCCCACCCTCCATATTAGCCCATGCCCCACCTTTTATCAACGTTTTCCCTTACTAATATTGGCTATCCAGTGCTAAACATTTTTTAATCTAAAACCTTTCCATATGAAAGTCTTCTTTTAGACACACTGCTATGACCTTCTAGCAGAAAATTCTCCCAAATATAGGGGAAAGAGATGAAAATGTAGGGGCACAAATTCACACAAAAGAAAATAAATAACACCTGTGTGCGTCCTGCATCAGCAACAACAAAAGTTGGAAGACCTATGCTCTCTGCAGCTTCCTTAAGCTTATTCCTGATTGAATGCACAAAAGGGAAGACCACTGATCAACCCAAAAAAGTAGTTCCTAATGTAGAAACAAAACCATATTTACCACCTACTTCCATTCAAGTGAAAAACAGGGTATTTTCGATAAGATCACCTACTTACATTTCTTGTTGATTCTTGCATGAAAGAACAATTTTTGGTTGGCCACATTGTTCCCATTGTCTCAAAAGGGAACGTTGACTGCAAGACATGAAACACGTAGAGGTCACTATGGAACATGAAGGTTTCTAGATTTGTTATCTCAGCTATCAAATTACTAGAGTATGATTTTGAGTGACAATGAATGGGTAAATTTTATTTCTATACAATGAGGGGCAAAGTGCAATTACTATTTTCAATAATTTGAACAAAACATGGAGAGGAGTGTAAGATATGGTGATTATTTGTTTATAACTTAGATGCCAACAATTGAATAGCAAATTCGCACGTTAAAGAAATACCCTGTAATTACCTTTGCATCATTTCTGCATATATTCCAGTGGCAGCATCTGCCATTTCAAAAGTGACATACAATCAAAGAAAGGATCTAACAATAAGGATTTTGCAGAAATTATATAAACCGTGAAACAATGCAGAACTCTCCACCAATGAAAAAAACAGGAGTTAATAAACCTTACGAGCACATTGAGATGCAATCTTTCCCATTCCCATTTTCAAGTCTTGCCTAACTATCAAAACCTGCAATTAGTAGCTTTCAGCTTTGATATAAGAAGCAAAAAATAGGGTATAAGCAATTTTTCATGAGAAAGCGAACTAACCCCTTATATTGGCCAAATGTAACGACTTAACGTTTCAACTTTCAAAGCAGAGAAAGCATTATACAATTTTATTTTTTACAGCCCAAAATATTTCAGCTATCATTTCCATCCTTTTTATGGCGATTACTTTTTTTTCGCCCTTTATAATTTGTTTTGATGTAAATGGCAAGAAAAACAATGTTTTCATTGTAAAAGGGAGCCTTTGTATTTTTTTTTTTTTTTTGGTGGGGGGTGCTTAAAACTGAAGAAGGAAAAGGAGAAAGAAGTATACCCTCCTACTTCATCAGAATTCAACTTCCCACCACTAATATAGAACTTAAAGCTTCCATTATGAACCCAGACAAAGAAAAAGTATAAAAATCAAGATATCGAAACAAGTCTAACCATTTTAAGTTCTTCATCGCCGCAATTTGATTCTGTCTTCCGTAGTTGCACCTTGGATAAAAGCTTATTCCCCTTCGCATTATTTTTTGGTAGCTTTGTTAAATCTAAAAATAACCCAAAGAGGAAGCCGATGATGAGGCCTGGAATGAAATTTTCTGGACTGAAACTTACTGAAAACCATTCGCCGTCGTCTCTCTGATGCTGAGTATATTAACAACAAAAAAAATGAAAATAAAACACAGTTCCCCCCACTATGTATATAAAACAGCATGACAGGAAGTGAACTTCGAAGTTCGAAATTAAGCAAACAGAGAAACTGAAAACCTTTTGTGATTGATGAGGAGTCCTTCGAAACAGACCTAACATATTCTCTCGTCAGAGAGAGAGAGAGAGAGGGAGATGCAATGCAAGTCAGCGAGGGTAAGTTGAAGGATAATTCTATTTCAACTATGCTAGCCATACGGGAATTGCTAGTGCCTGTATGGTGATGGCAGTGCCCGCATTCTATACACTCGTACGGATAGAATTGCTACCAAACGTTTCACGATTTCACGGTTGGCCAGTGGCCACCAGACCGCACAGCCGCACTTTCACGTGGAGATATGCGTCATTATAGAGAGTCCCGAGATCTGAGAACAGAATCTAGCCGGACATTAGGAATATCTTCCGTACGTAAATCTTTAAAGGGGTTTTACTGTGCAGTACACCACAGAAATCTTAACTCCACCGTACATTCTAAAAATCCCAATTTTTTTTTTTAATTCATTGAAATGTTTCCAATATGGGGCAATATGCATCTGGATGTTGAGAATATTCAAAACGCTGTATATATAAAGGGGGCGTTCTATGATGTTTTTGGGAGGGAGAAAGGAGGTTAATGGAATCTATAATTTATTTTTATGATATCCATCTTCTGGTGAGTAAATAATTTTTTTATTTATAGGAAGAAAATTGTCAATATTTAATAGGACAAAAATGTATCTTTTAATAATGGATTTTTATTGCTAAAATGGCCATTACGTTATTTACTTAAGAAATAAAAAATATGGGTAAATACACATACCCGAATAAGTATTTTCTAAGAAAAACTTACTCAGGTAATAGTAACTTACTGAAAAGCGAACGAGGCCAATATGTTATTTTTTGGGGGGAAATTCCATATTATTATCCTGTATTTTGGGCCTATTGTCACTTTGGTCCAAAAGCTTTAAAACGTGTCAATCTAATTCCTAAACGTTCAAAATGTACCAATTTAGTACCTACCTTAACCAGCCATTAAATAACATATAAATGACACAAATGTCATTTAAATGTCATCTAATTTTATTTAAGGAAAAATCCCGATTAGGAGCACAGGCCTAGGGCCACTTTGGTTCCCAAACTTTAAAATGTGACAATTCAGTACCCAAACTTTCAAAACATGTTAATTTAGTACCTATTGTTAGCCAGTTGTTAAGTGACATTTGAAAAAGACACAAATGCCCTTCGAGTGTCATCTAATTTTCTTTGTCGACTATCCAAACATTGACAAAAAATTAACAATCCCAAATTCTTGCTTCTTCTATTCAAGAAAGTTAGGGGCACGTCTCAGTGAGCATTCTACACCCCAACTTTCTTGAATAAAAGTGGCAAGGATTTAGGACTGTAACTTCTTGTCAATGTTTGGATGGTTGATAAAGAAAATTAGATGACACCCAATGGTGCTTGTGTCTTTTTCAAAAACATTTAATAGCTACTTAACAGTAAGTACTGAATTGACACGTTTTAAAAGTTTGAATACTGAATTGTCACATTTTAAAATTCAGGGACCAAAATGGCACTAGGCCTAAAATACGGAGTACTAATCGAGAATTTTCCCTTTTATTTATTAACTAATTCTTATTGTTGGTTCTAATACTTGGAAGATGAGCGTCACCTATTATTTCTCAAGTAGAAATTTATCACAACTGATTAATCAAATCGACCAAATCTCTTGCATGTTTTATTCTATTGGCCACAGGGGGCTCAGGTTGGAGATAAACCAAGCAGATTGGTCCCATGGGTCTGTAGAGCAAAGCCCGACTCCGACCATCTGACCATGTGAGTAGAACAAATCAGAAATTCAGATGAGAGAATCTCGCAAGGCCCCTCAAAATTATCACTTACTGCACTCAACCAGAATGATTGCCTCTCAACAAACAAGAGCGAGCCCCCGTCCTTATCAAGGCTAGGAGAGAGGAGTGTATATTCCAGAGCTCTTTTTTAATGTTCAAAGTATTTGAGAGGTTTAAACATGAAAAATCTTAGAACTTTGTTTTAGTTTCTTTTATAATAGGCGACGCTCCGTCTATTTTTCTCTCAATTTATGCTTTATGACATCTCTTTCAACAATATAACAGTAACAGGTTAAGTCCCAAAATCAACCTAAAGTCTCAAAATATTTCTTGATCTGCAGACTAGTTCAGTTGAATTTGAGAGTATTTGTTACAAAGTTGATGAAATAGAGCAAACACAAACGAAATCGCAACTCCTATGATATTTCCAAAAACGAAATTTCTTTTTCTTGTTTCATTTGCCATCTATTAGGGCATCTTAAAATATTTAACTTCAAGATTGAATAAACAAATAATAAAAAAAAAGAAAAAAATAGAGTAGAAATTCAAAACAAACATTAACTTGTGTACATCAGGCCAATAAACCCCTTTCACCCTTGATCAACTATCAAAAACAAAAATAATCGTATAGATTATGAAAAACGATGAGGAGGGTTTGAGCATTACCTACAATTTCAAGAAACCCTAATAATTTTATTTATGGTTGCCGAACTTGCTTTTCTCTTCAATGTATGTACACAAACGTCTGTTCTCTCAATCATTAAGTAACGTTGAAGATAAGTTATGGAGCTTTCTTTCAATCGATTGAAATGGTATAGAACTCTCACTTGATTGAATAGAGCTTGGTACCCTTGGGAATTGGAAAAGTAAGGAACGAAAGTGGAAAATGAAAGAGAATGCACCCCACTTTTTTTAATGAATTGTCTATTCAAAACAGTTTGTTTGTTATAGATCGGTTCACGATCGGCTCAAGACAAAAACCGTCGGGCTAGTTCACAAAACTGCCACCTCAATTTTTTTATTTTTTCTTTGTTTAGTTCAAAGCTGGTGGTGATGTTAAAACCGCCGCCTTAGGTGTACTTAAGGTAGCACTTTTTATGGTTGCCGTCTGTAAACTGCCGGGGTTAGCCCAATTTTCTTGTAATGAGTGTAGATTTTTCTACATTAAATCGGGTTAACGGATCCAACCAACATCTGAATCCAAATCCAAATCCAAACATATATGATATATCTAGAATTTTTTTCTACATTGAATCAGATTCAAATTGGATTCACGGACCAATCAACATCCAAATCCCATCCAACTAATGAAAACTGAAATCTGAATCCAATCTGAAATCTAATGGGATTTGTGGATCTTGGATCGAATTCAGATATTGTTGGATTCATATCTAAATCAGATTTTAATCCAGCTCTACTTCATTTTTAAATAAATAAAGAAATTGAAAATAAAAGTATTACTTTTGACTTGGTTAATTTTATTTTTAATCAATGAGAGTTTTGGTTTAACAATAGATTTTGTTGAATGAGGTTTGGATTTTTTTAGTTCACTACTAAGTGTACATGTGCAACAATTTTAGATGATGATGAAGATGGTAATGATGATTATACTAATAATACATTTCCAAAAATTTTCAACAATTCTTTTTATATTTCTTTGTATAAAAAAATTCTATTGGTTGCACTTTAATTATTACATCCATTTTCTTTAATGTGATTTATGTAGAATATTAGAGATGTGCCCAAATGTTTATTTACAAAATTTATGTATTTTGTGTACTTATTGTGTATTTTATCTTTTTAAATTTTTATTATTTATTGTGATATCAAGGGTCATGAAATGAAATGTTGAATTGTTAACCGACCACCAAATTGGAAAACAGTTTCACTTTTGGGTTAATTTTAAGTTTTGTATTTCATTTCCATCATCACTAAAAACAATTCTTATTTATCACACTTATTTTTATCTTTCTTATTTTTTGTTCTTTTTTTTTATTTGATGAATATATAATGTTACATATGTGCCCAAATGCATTCTATAAAATTTTTGTATGTTTTCATAATTTTTTTGTTTTTTTTTTAAAAGGTAAGATAAATTTATTAGATCAAACTCATAAAAGTACAAAACAAAACCTGCCAACAGCTAGTCAAGCCTGAAAGATCCCCATTACAAGCACCAAATTGACTGATTTCTTAGTAAATGAGTTACATTTGTGTGTCTGAATTCTGGGGTGACTGAAATCCAAGAGAGCATTTTACCAACAACTGTCTGAACAATATCCTCGGGCCCTCTCACTCTTTAATTAAAAAATATGTTATTTCTCTCAGACCAAGTGACCCAAATCACAGTTGTCGAGATAGAAATCCAGACCAATTTCCCTCTTTTCATCAATTTATTGAGCTTCCAGCTACATAGCAACTCCTTAACCGATTTAGGCATGACCCAACATATCCCCATAGACTTCAAGAAGTGATACAACACCTGGGCAGCAAATGAACAATAAATGCATATATGATCCGTAGACTCCAGATGATCATCGCAAAGGACACAAGACTTATCCGGGATTTGCAATCCTCTTCTTTCAAGATTGGTTCTAGACAGACATTTGTCTAAGACCATTGCCCAGACAAGAAAGTTAACCTTAGATGGGCAAACTGAATTCCAAATCTGCTTAGCAAGGAAATCCCCCACTACCACTCTGCTACAGAGTCTACTGGCCATTGATTTTACTGAGAAAACACCATCTTTGGTCTAGACCCAACTCCACTGATCATCCTGATTGTGATAAATGATTTGAACCTGTAGTATTTCCAACAGTCTCGTAGCTTCTTGAATTTCCCAGTCAAAAAAACCTCTTCTGAACTAGGGAACCCAAAGCACCTCATTGCCCAAAACTATGTAGACATCAACAATCGAAGCATTTTGGTTGGAGGCACATTGGAAGATAAGAGGAAACTCATCAGGCAAGGAATGATTCAGACACCAATGATGGGTTGGTTCTCTAGTTACCCCATTCAATCCCAAATTTAGATGCAATTAGACTTCTCCACCAAGCTCCCCTTTCGGTGGCAAATCTCCAGATCCACTTGCAAAGCAGTGCCGAATTTGTCACCTTAATTATTCTCAAACCTAGGCCCCCTTGCTCCTTAGGGCGGCCGATTTAGTTTCAGTTCACAAGGTGGATTTTCTTTTCTTTCTCCCAACCCCTCCACAAAAAGTTTTTTTGGAGAGTCTCAATTTTCCTAGCCACTTTATCTGGGATAGGGAAAAGAGAAAGAAAGTAGGTAGGAAGGTTGGAAAGGGTACTTTTTGGAAGGGTCACTCTACCACCAAAGAAAATGTACTTTTCCTTCCAT